CGACATTTTATATATGTTTTTAGGCGTCTTAACAAGTTGATAAACGATAAACCGTTGTATCTAAAGTTGTTTCAATAAGTTTATATATGTTTTTAGGCGTCTTAACAAGTTTTTTAAAACATTTTTATAATAAAACATATTTATATGACATTGCTTGAAAAAATGTCTTATAGAAACAAGTGTTCTATAAAAAGATGTGTTTATAGAAACATTTATCAAAAATGTCATATAAAATAGCTAATACGACGTTTTATTTTTAAAAATGTTTTAAAACTTGTTAAGATGCCTAAAAACGTCATATATATTTATTACAATAATGTCATATAGAATGTTTTACTATTTGTTTTTCTATAAACTTAAGTAGTCTATTAAGACACTTATGGGTCGTTTACCAAACGCTTACACGGGTAAGTGGTTACCAAGTCACATTAACTCGCTTGATGAATATGGTAAGGACCAAGAATCTTACCCGGTAAGAACGAAACAAGGACCAAAAGCCTTATCCGGTAAGTGAGGTGGACGACTCTTACTATAGTAAGCACTTACTGGGTAAATTGTTGCATGCGATGTCGTTTTTGTGGACTAAAATCTTACCCAGTAAGTAACAGTAATGTTAAATCTTATTGATAAATACTTATCAGGTAAGTATTTGGTAAACGACCCCTTAAATATCGTTGATGTCATATAAACCCGATTTTGCTATAATGACACTCTAGATTATTTTCAAAAAGTAAAACACGTAATTTAAAAAATAGATTAAGAAACGTGAAGGATCAACAATGATTGGGAAAGGAGGCAACACTGTAACAGACAGCGAAGTGACGACAAGACAAGGGCATGGAATGGAAAAGCGAATAGGGGAAGGTGTAAAGTTTCGATTAACTTATGTTTTAATAGTTTTTCAATTCAAGAACACGAGTTAATGGGATATAATAAGACCCTCGGACGAATAGTTCGATAGGCAAAGACGGGCTGACTTTGTTCAAATACATAACATATCAGATTTGAATCCCTCTGCTTGCTTGTACTGCTGAATCAACTCACGAGCTGCCTCCTTCACATACGGCGCCTAGGGAACGGGTTTCATGCGAGACCAGTTGAGATTGTCAGTAATCAATTTTTTACTCAGATAATAGAAATAAGTACCTGTACCACTTATATAAATTATTACAGATAATATCATTACAACACCAATTATTCTTTGACGATGATCATTTAGTACCGACAAACAAATGCATAAAGAGAGAAACGAGAAACACATTTGATAAATTCTATCATTTTTGTTAGAAAAAATGGAACTTTGACTTTAAAGCATTAACATTGACTAACCATACAAATATACTTCTAATTAGATGTGAAATAGATTAATAAAATACTAAAAGAGTACTTGTGTAATGCAGCGAGATACATCTCGATTTTAATGTTATATTTTATTATTTGTCTCTGTCAATGTTATAATACGATTTCATGTGTTTTTTAAGAAAACAATAATGATTTTATTTTTGAATAAAATATAAATTTGAAAAAAAAAATATCAATGTAAATATCAAATCAACTATTTAAAAGTTCTTATTTTTTATGTAATTTCTTTAATTCTTTTTTGTTGTAATTTAATTTAAGTTTAATAACTGAATAATTTATTTTTGGTTTAATAATATAACATTTTATAAAAAATAATAATTAAATATTCTGTTAGAACGCATTGATTATCTTAATTATATTTTAGATTTTTTTATATTTAAAATAAGATATTTATCTTGTATTTGATTATGTTTATCTGCAGTTAGTTACACGAATTCACATATAGAGCTTTAATAAGTTGTACTTACGCATAATCTACTTGCAATCTTGAGTTTTAAGTAATATGCATTAATAAACAGTACTTTACGCAGAAAAAATGGTTTTTAAGAGTTTTTGTCAAATGTTTTATAATATAGTATAGATATTGTAAAGTAAGTTACATATTTGGTCTTGGGTTTTATCCGTTAATGGAGAGGTATTTCGGTCTTTTTACATTCTTTTATTTTTATTAAAATCGGTTTTTTAGGACACTTCCAAATTCTAAATGTCCTAATAGACTTCTTTATAGCACTTAGTTTATAGGACCAAAAAAATGAAGTGTCATATCTAAAGGTGTTGTAATAAGTTTATCTGACGTTTTTTGATGTCGTAATAAGTTTTTTAGAACACTTTTAATATAAAGCGTCTCATTATCAACTTTATAGGACATTATTTGAAAAATTGTCCTACTACAAAAAATTGAGTTTTTAGGACACTTTCTCAAAAGTGTCCTATAAAGTTGATAATGAGATTATTTATATTAAAAGTGTCATAAAAACCTTATTATGACGTCAAAAAATATCATATAAACTTATTACATCACCTTTAGATATGACATTTTACTTTTTAATCCTATAAACTAAATCCTATAAAAAAAAGTCAATTATGACACTTAGGATTTGAAAGTGTCCTATAAAACCGATTTTGTTATAATGCAACTACCTAAATTTTGTTGTAATATATAGCTAGGTATGTAAATTACTCCCAAAAGCTTGACAAAAATATTTTGAAGCCTTTGTTGGTGGGGCACGTAAAGCTAAACCGAACAAAAATCAAGGAACGGGTGTTCTTTAAACGTTTTAGGTATGTAAATTTATTGGTTTTTTTATTCATCTTTTTGTATATTTTTGTTGAACAAATCAATAATAGTATCTATATCTATATTATATTATAAAGCATTTGACAAAAACTCTTAAAAATCATTTTTTATATATGAAGTATTGTATATTGATGCATATTACTTAAAATTCAAGATTACAAGTAAATTATGCATAAGTACAACTTATTAAAGTTTTATGTTTGAATTCGTGTAATTAACTGCAGATAAATATAATCAAATATAGGATAAACAACCATTTTAATATAGAAAATCTAAAATATAATTAAGATAATCATTGAGTTCTAACAGAATGTTTAATTATTATCTTTATAAAAAATTTATTTTTTTTAAACCAAAAATAAATTACTTTGTTATTAAATCTAAATTAAATTATAATAAAAAATTGAATTAAAGAAGTTACACTCAAAAAACGAGAACTATTAAATAGTTAATTTGATACTAATATCGATTTATTTATTTTTTTCAAAATTATATTTCATTCAAAAATAAAAATGTTATTGCTTTCTCAAAACCACATAAAATCGTATTATATTGACAGAGACAAATAATAAAAACTAAACATTAAAATCGAGATTTATCTCGCTACATTACACGAGTACCCTTCTGGTTAGTTAAAAATAAATTTATGGAATATTAAATTTAGAGAAATAATATTAATCAAATCAATAATTAAAAGCATACTACAATACAAAGTCTCTTATGACGCTTTCCAACTATTTTATGGACAAATATTTAATTTAAAAGATATATTTTAAAAAATTATTTTCAACGTTAAAATCATGAATTTTTTTGTACTGTTTCTAAGCACACTGAGGTAAACTTTATGGTCGTATCCTTAATGTCGGTACGTTATTTTTTCTCTTCAGTACCGTATTAATTTGTTGTGTGCCACCGTATGTATTTTGAAACTACAATGAGAACACGTTTTATTTGGTAAAGTTGATTTGCAAGGCTTTTATTCCACCCCACACCCAAGTACGAATCATGTTAGTGTCATTTTCTTAGTCGAACGGTGCCACCATTTGAAAAAAATTCCATATATTTGTTTCTTATAGTCAAACGGTGTCATCGTTTGAAAAAAAAATTCCGTATATTTGTTTCTTATAGTCAAACGGTGTCACCGTTTGAAAAAAAAAATTATATATTTTTTTTCTTATGATCAAATAGTGCCACCGTTTAAAAAAAATTATGGGTCCATCTCTGATCTTAAGTGTCTTAAAATGTAGTCCTATTTTTTGAGAAAAAATTAATTAATATAAAAAATACTTATCTAACTACGGTTGCGTACCAGTGAGAATAAGGCTTATCGTAAGAAGATCATAATAGAAACTTGATGTATATTCATATACCTTTCTTTAATTTTCAACGATCGTTATTTACTTAATTTTACAGTCATGACTAAAAGTAAAATTTATACTGCGAAAAACTTAAGTTATATTAAAAAGTCAATTCATCCAATGGTTCACAAATGTTCTCACCATAAGGTTCTTCAGACAACCTCAAGTCTATTTAAAACGTCAAAAATTTCTAAAAATCCTTATGAGCCACTTTATAAGATTTAATTTATAGAACCAAAAAGTAAAACATCTTATCTCAAGGGTTTTGTAACTAGTTTTTAGGACATTAAAGAAAACATCATATTAGCTATTTTATAAGACATTATTTGAAAAAGTATTTTATAAAAATAATTATCCTATAAAAAGATGGATTTATATAATATATATTTTTTATGTATTAAATTGTTTTAAAAAACTTATTAAAACTTACAAAAATATTCTATAAATTTATTACGGTCATCATATAAAATAAATGTTATAAACAATCTATTAAAACAATTTTTGTTACAGCTTTACCCTGTCCATGTGTCCTATATTAAATAATACCAGATTTTGTCCTTTACTATTAATTTAAACACGTGAAAATTTCTCAAAATAGTAGATAAAAAAGCACACCCAATGAAATCTAATTAACTTTTAACTTAATTTTTTCATCGGGCGACCATCTGTTTTACAGATAGTCCGAAGTCATCGTATTTGAATCTTTGTGACCAAAAAGGATTTTTAGTCCTACTTCGATTTGAACCTGAGACCTACCGTTAATTTTGAACCTTTGGATTTTTCAACCCTTAATTTTCATATTTACGTAAATTTAATCACTTTCACATAGATGAATTTATTAAGTTTTCAATTATAACGATGAATAAATATATATGAGCTTTTGTTTTCATCTTCTTAATATAACTCCACTAAAATCATTAAGGTTTTATAATTTATTGAAATCCAAATTCAAATGCAAGAGTGATGGAGTACAAAGATTATTATTTGGTCAAGAGAATTGCCAAAATCCTCATCAACCACATGCACCAACATCAAAAACAGATGCATGCATGCATGCATGCAATCAGTTCAAATCTTAAGTTTGAACGATGGGAACCAGCTCAATCTTGATCTCAGAAACAGTGGCGTCATCGCACCCGATCTTCGGAACCAAATTCACCAAAACATACTCATCATCTTCGGCTTCAATGTCCTCCAACAGCTCTGTGATCCCGAACCTCGCCCCACTCGTCATCAACATCTTCTCGGAATGGCCGCCATGCGGCAACTGTGCGAAACTACCTGCAAACTCGCTCTCAGCCGCAGTGGTCTCGATCCCATCGTCGACGTCATTCACAAACACGTCGAACTTCACAAACTTCTCACCGTCGAATTTGATTCCGTTCAGCAACAAAATCTCATGCGCTTTCTCCTTGTCTTCCTTTGTCCTGTTGGTTGCAGGCCTCTTCACGAGAACCTTAACTACCTGGTCTAGCTTCACCGGAAATTCCACGTCTTCCACCTTCTTCACTGTTCCGACCGACTGAGCTGCAGCCTTGGACCTCTTGGCATGTGCAACCGGTCGACTCTGGAGCCAGGGGACTGAGGACCTTTCGTAGTCGTATCCCATTCGGCCGATGTCTATAGAGTCTTTGTTGAAGACACGTACAAGCCTTTCGTTCTCATCGTAGAACACGTATGATGCATTATTCCAGTCGTCGGAGGTGGGTTCTACGTGTCCTGGGATGCCTAAATCTTTCCAGATTTTCCACATCCGGTCGATGTTGGCATGGTGGACGTAAAAGACAGGGTCATACCCAGCCGAGTAGAAGTTTCCCATGTCCTCGTTGTTCGCCATCCTAGGGTTACCCACCCATCGGTGCATCGCCGTGTGAATCCCACTCTCTATGGACCCCGCTATAAGTGTGTCCGCTTGAAGGGGATTATCCCCACTCACAAACTCGCCACCAAAGAAGCTTGTTGTATCAGTGGCGTTAGTTATCATCTGCCTATACATTGAAGCCAGATTACTGCTTATCTGGTTTACACAATCAGCGCCAGTGTTTGCACCAGCATATTCGGCATCAAGGATAGCTGGTGGGAGGTGTGTGACATCCCTGTAAGGATCAAATATAGGGTTTTGTTTGGGTGTAGTATCTGGGTCAGCGTCTTCGAACATTGCAGGAAGCATCATGCCGGTGGGGTGGTCCCAGTTCCAGTACGGTATAGCGAAGGTCGGATCGTTAATCAGCTTTCCCAAGATTCTCTCGTAGAAATAGAGGTACCAGCGGTGGAATGGAAAGAAGAGCCAGGAGTTGTGGATCTGGAGTTGTAGTTCCGGGTGACCACTTTGTTCTTGATTGTAACCGCCATTGCAGTAAGCACAATGGATCATAGCTTGTTGCTTAAAACTGTGTGGATGGTCATCTGGGAGTTTCCTCATTTCCTGAATTGCTGCTTTATACTTCTCGATGTACTCGGGTGTGGCTCGCTGTGCTGCGGGTCGAATACGGGTCACGGGGTTCACCGGCAAGGTGTAAATTTCTGGTTTACTAGAGAGTGCTGGTGGGCAACAAGCTAAACCCCTTACAACGTCTGTGGGGTTCTGTAGGTTTGAACTCGCCGTCACGCAATCTGCAATATTGTCGGGAGCAGCGATGGGAGTGGCGAAGGCCGACGGGAGAGAGGTGAAGTTAGCAGCGCCGTAGAGACCGCCGAGGCCCAAAAGCAAGTTTCTCCGGTCGACATTGTGAGTCATGTCAAGTGATGTTATGAGTTTTGGGGTGGTTTCAGGGTGGTTGGTGTCACCTGAGGCGGCGTTGCATGAGACTTTGAAGCGATGGGACGATGCTTTGGAAAATGAAGGCGAACCAGAGAAGGTGGTGGGAAGAGTGGAGAAGCTGAAAGAAGCCATCGTCTTTAGGTGTGCTTCTAAGAGCTCTACTGAGGTCCAATTATATAGACACATTTTCAAAGGGGATTGTGGAAAACATGGATTTTAAATATTTGGATAAACAATTTATATCGGTGTAAAATCGATGATGAGGAGTTTTTGAAAAAGTTAAACCCTTCTGAGTTATAATAAGTTGATAAGTACTTTTGTAGAAAAGCATAAGTTGTTTCAAATAAGCAATCCCAAATACCCCATAAATATGTGATTCATGATAAATAACACATCCATATTTATCATGAATACGTGATTTATAATAAATATGACATGTTCATATACATCATAAACGTACGATTCATTATGAATAACACGTCTATGTTTATCATTTATCATAAATATGTGATTCGTGATAAATAAACTACCCTATTCATTAGAGGTGTATGCAAGTTGAGCTGGACGGTCTACGACATTTTTACAACTCAATCCAATTATGACGGTTTGTAACAATCTCAACTCAACTCATTCAAAAGTATAACCAATCCAACCCAACTCTTGCGGGTTGAGCCGATTTTGGTTGGATTGGTGGATTAATTAATAAATTTGACGAATAAAATATTTCATACGACTTAAGTTTATAGGACCAAACTATATAATGTCCTATTTAAATGGGTATTTCGAAAAGCTTTTTAGAATGTTTTTTAAATAAATTATCATATTAGTTATTTTTTAGTAACATTTTGAAAAGTGTCCTATAAACTCATCTATTTATAGGATATTTGTGTTCATTTGTCACATTTTCAAATAAATGTCATATAAAATAACTAATACGGCACTTTATTCTATAAAATGTTCTAAAAATATAAAATGTTCTAAAAATTTGTTAAGAATCCCAAAATCGTCCTATAAACATATTTGTAACATTTAAGATATGATATTTTTTTTGTTTTATCCTAAAAAATATCATATCAGGACGCTTAGAAATTTTAGGTATGCTATAAACCTAATCTTGTTGTACTCAAAAGTTATAGCTATTAGCATTTTTTTTTTTTTGCACCAAAATACAACATCAAACGAGGGAGTCTTTGGATCGATGGATTCATCACCTAAATATCTATCAACATCATTAATATTTTTTGCCATATCTATTTGTTGTTGCTGCAAAAATGATTTCAATAATTTTCTCATGTTAGATTATTTGTAATCATTCTTTGGTCGTGCATCTCTTTTGGTAATTTATACATTTAGTTAAAAAGAAATATAAACATAAACTTAACAAACATTATATAAAATTTTACACGTTATTAATATATATATATATATATATATATATATATATATATATTATATAAACATTATTATATATAATAGACTAGTAGGGTAGGTTCAAACAAGAAACAAAACATTTTACGAAAATGTGTGAAATTTCAATAGTATAAATGATTACACGCATAATACACAAGCTTAATCATATATGATTAAACATATATTTCATTGACAACACATAGACATTTAGTCATGTATGATTAAACACACCCAAAGGAGCGTAATCGTGTGTGGGTGGCTGGGTGAGTGTGTGCATGCCTGCGTGTGTGTGGTTCAAACGAGAACACATGTGATTTACACATATGCAAGAACATTCGTAAGCCCGTCATTTTTTTTAATGCACAATTCTTGAAGGATCGAGAGAAAAGTAAAATATTAAAGAAATATTCGATTTATCAAGGTATTATCATATTATTATGACAGCAAAATCACATCATTATCAACAACACATGCATCATTATAAGAAATTTTCAATAATATATGCTAACAACATTTAAGAGATAAAGACAAATCTAAAATAATAAAAAATTGTTGATAAATAATAATTATTTATAATTTATTCTAATTTTAAATTATTATGTGTAATATATATAATTTGGAAGTCTAAAAATATTCTCATATTTTCTTAAAATATGAATATTCAAACGTATATATAGGTATATGTTTTAATATACAAATATTTATTTGAATGCAACAATAATAATACAAAATCCTGTATAATCGTGAATAGTTAAACATGGGAATGGAGCGGGACCCCAATTTCCATTCCCTGATCTTACTTCTTACTGGAGAATATGATCACATTTAATAATATATATATGGTTGGGTTCACGTGAGACCAGCATGATTTTGTGAGACCCGTAAGAACATTTTTTTACACTTGAAACTTATGATAACCAGAGGACAAGGGGGAAGAGAAATTATGAATATCTGGGTTATTGGGTTAGCATATTATTCTTTTGTATCTGAATATTTATTATGGAAAAAGTTGTTAGCTATTTTGTAATATAGCTTTTGTAAGATATATAATGATATCAAATGTATAAATTACATTTCTTGATATATGTAAATATATATTTATATGCAAATGTATCTTAGGGTGTTACAAAACTTCATAACAAAACATTGTGAAAGTAAAAAAAAAATTGAACATTCATAACAAAAACACTGTAAAGGTTACCTTTACAGGTTTTTTTACATAATATCTTTATAATATTATACATATAAATCCCAATTTCACATTTAAAAATCATATCATATTGAAACTTTAATCAACCAAATTGGTCGGTAGGAGTTGGAATAAAAATCATGTCTCTATGAATTTTAATTTAATTTTATGTCATTTTTTTCTTCTCTTAAAGTGTTAATAAAATAGCAGAATTTTTTTYTTTTTKTTATAAAAAAAAAAAAAAAAAAAAAGATGTCKTGTCTTATAGTAWCGRGTWGYYWAAATGGACACATGCAATTTTGAGTTCATGACTCCAAAAAAGAGATATCGGCCATGTGATTCATTAGTGCACCAAGGACGAAAATAGTTCTTATTCCGGAACAAATACATAATTTACTAATATATTTTCAGTAAATATGAATATATATATATATATATATATATATTTAAATTTAAAAAAAAAATAGTTGAATATGATATACTTAAGGGGCGTTTGGTTTGTAGAATAATTTATGGAGTAATGGAATTTGTCAAAATAATTGAAATCTAGAAGGAATTGGAATGAAATGTTATCAGGTTTGACTAAGTGTTTGGTTGGCATAAATGAAATTTAATCTGTATAATGAATTAGAATTTATTTGTTTGATTGGGAATAGAATTGGAATGGAATGAGGAAAAAAAGACAAAAATACCTTTTCTTTGTATTTTTTTTAATTTTTTTTAATTACAAATTATATACAAAAATCAGAAATTCTGTTGTGGAAGCTTTTTTGTTCTTCAATACACATAAATACACACACACGCGCATCTTGTGGGATATATACAGAGCAGTACATGAAGCGATTGATAGAAACAGCAATCGATCGAGAAGATGAAAGCAACAATCGAACAGGAGATACAAGATTTAAAACCATAACCCCATCTCAACGCCTCATTTCCAAGATTCTGTTATGAAAATCAACAACAAAGAAGGCTCCAACAGAGAAAAACAAAGAACGGGCAAGAATTCGGTAAGCAGAAATTGGAATACCTTCTTCTCGTGAATTTCTAGAGTTTCTTCTTCCCGTGCTTCTTCTTCTTCTTTTTCTCTTTCTTACCCCCTCACATGGCAAAGAAACGCACTGCTCTTACTAATCGATAAGCAGAAACTAGAAGCAAGCAGAAATCGATATGCAGAAACTGAAAGCAAACAGAAATCAGTAAACAGAAACTGGAAGCAAGCACTAATTAATAAGCAAAAACTGGAAGCAAGCAATACTCGATAAGCAGAAATTGGAATTTAGCATAAATCAGTTTACAAAATAACCATACATTGAAGCAAGCAGTAGTCGATCGATGATGAAACTAGAAGCATCATGAGGGTACTTTTATCATTTATACAATTTTGGATGGAATGGATTTCAATTCCATCACTTTTATGAAGGAACGATGAAATCCTCAAATGAGGGAATGCTTGGAATTCAATTCCATTTCTTGGGTAACCAAACGTTGGAATGAAATTTGGTCAACAGAATTGACCATTCCAACTCCACCAGATTCCGGCGGATTCCGACGAACCAAACGCCATCTTAAAGAAGAAGAATAAAAGAGTTATAGCAAATAATTGATGATGAAAAAATTATGAATAGAGTAAACAATATATTCAAGGTAACAAAAATAGAAGAATATTTTTGGTATATCAAAGTATCAACTCGATCAATCCAACTAACTCAACCAACTCGTATGATTTAGGTTGGGTTAGGTTGTACTTCGATTTAAGTTAAGTTGGGTTGAAAATTTTCATGATACAAACATTGAATTGGATTGTTCAAATGTCTTCAATCCGGTCAACATAACTTATCAGTACCTTTGCTAAAGACACCTTTCAAATCCTGTAATAAATCTTGTTAATTTTTCTTCTTCCTTTTTTATGGTAGGCTTTAGGTTTTGTTTTCATTTTAAGTTGTTGATATTTCTTAGGTTATTTGATGCTTATAATGTGTTAAGTTATTTGTTAGGTTTATTTTTATTTTTTTTATTTTTTTTTATTAACCTGACTATCCAACCCGCTATGCGAGCTAACTAATTCCAAGGCAACCACCTACTTTGCAGATAGCCCAGAGTCACTGCATTTGAACCTCCGTGGCTACAAAGGATTTTTATTCCTCCTTGTATTTGAACCTAGGACCTCTAGGTATTTTTGACCTTTGGAGCCAAGCTCAAACCAATCAGACACTACTCTTATGATTCTTGTTTTACTTTTGTAGAATATGTTGTTAATGAGAGAAGAGAAACTTTTTTTAAAATATCTATAATAGTTATTGTATAAATTTTTAATTCAAAATTGTCAAAATTACCAAGTCTGAATAAACCAATTAATTTAATATAACTTGTGGTTTATATTGGATCTCATGGATCTAATAAATTTATGGTTCTCAAAAGTCAAAAGAAGGCCCCTATTTATAAATATTAAAATTACTAATATATTTTTTATTAATTAAATAAAAAATTTAATATCAATAATTGATTGGTGGAGGTTAAATTTCATAGTTATCACAAACTAGTCTTTATTACATATATGGGCTTAATCATTTGAAAACTCCAAAATATTGAATGGTTGGCAATCATTAACGTGTTTTATATCGTAAAATACTCTCGACGTTTTCAAAAACCACACTTCGCAATCAAAAGACCTAAAATATTATTAGATCATATAAAAAAGACATTATGAATGAATTTCACAGAACGAAAAAAATGAAATACATTTTCAATATGAACGTGTAAGTAAATTACACTTTTGTTTTGGTACTTACGGTTAGTGATGGCCAAATATCGGGCCCGGGACGGACCTAATCGGTCCCAAACTTTCTCATAACCGACCATAACCGGTCCCGGTCGAAAATGGTAGAACCCGTTAAGGTACTTCATAACCGATTATGGGCCACCGGTCCCAGCATTAAAAAATAAGATTTTTTATAAAAAATTAATAACATATTTTTAGTATATTATAAAATTTACAATTGGATCACTCAAATACACATTAAAAATAGGTTTTAATATAATTAAAATTACTTTTCTTATAAAAATAAATTATAAAATTATTTATAAATATATTTATTTTTTGGGATGGGCCAGTCCGTTCCATAACCGGCCCCGGTCCCACGAAATTACCAAAAACCCCAACCGGTCCCGGTTTTCGGTCCCATAACCGGTTACTATTTGTAGAAGTTGGTTTCATCTCTTGGCTATTACTCTACCAAAATGTCACTAGGTCCACAATTTACGAAGGGTTAAAGTGTAAAAAAGAAGTTTTTGAATCAGGTCCGGAAATGCATAGACCAAGTCTATAAATCCGTCCACACCTCTGCAAATTACGAACCTATATCAATTTTACATATTTGGTCTCTGCACTTGAAGATCTGGTTCAGAAACTTCTTTTTTTTACACTTTGACCCCTATGCAAAACGCTGACTTATCACTTGCATACCTATTACTTACGAACCTAGTAACATTTTGATGATTTTAGACAAGAAATTGTTAAGAGATGAAACCACAAGCCGATAATTACTATTTCAATTAATTTCCCCTTTTCAATTTCATTACACTCAAGATCCTTAAGAGTCAACATCGTCAATTAGCAACTGTCATGAGGGACAAATCAACTTTCAACATAGCTGTTAAAGATGTTCTAAACAAAGACGTCATCTACCTCAAAAAGTAAAACAACTGTTTCCATAAAAACAAAGTAGAACAGTTGTTGCCGTAAAGACAAGTGACGTTGAAAACGAATAGCGTAGAAAACAAAACAACATTAATATAAAACACTTCTTGCATCAAAATGATGGTATGGTTTTGAGATGGTGGCAGATAAATAAACCTTGGGCCAAAGTTGTAACCAAATATTTCAGGAAATATATAGATGTATTACTATGCAAAATATAAGGGAAAAGATGGAGTAGCTATCTACCTATGATCTTCAGACAAAATTCCAAACTCCGCGGCTTCGTTCGATCATTTTGTGACTTTAAAACCCTGCCACGATAAAAGGTAATGTAATCAATCCAAAGGTATGACATGTTACGCCTCAACGTCAATCTATGATGTAAGAATGTAAAACTATACAAAATCAACTTTCGGTAAAATTTTGCACCTTAACCCTCTTGAGTAAAGCTTTGGCATTCTCATCGTTCTTGAAATGATCACGGACAGGCTGCATTTACAATGATCTTGTGTTGAGGACAGAACAGTAAAAAGAGAACGTCATAGTATAGTTTATTCCTTCTTTTTCCATTAACGTTATTGTTTTTTACCAAGACCGGTGGTAGAACAAGAAATTATAGAACGGTGTTTTAGGGATAAAAAATAAGGAAATGTTTGTTTACAGCTTATTGGTCAGCTATATATGACCGTTTGGTAGTGGCTTAATGATATAGAAAGTGGTTTATTTAGTAAGCTTCTAGGTTGGAGCTTTATGTAGAAAACCAAGTTTTTTCCAAACCTGCCATTCCCAATTAAAAAACATGCTCATACCATCTATGAGAAAACCCTCACAAACAAACACCTTTCCAATCTATACAGACAGATTAATTCACAGCGACAGCTTTATCCAATCCAGAACTTAAAAAAATTACAACCAACCAACCAAACAGCCCCCAAGTCATACAAGCTTTTACACATTTGTATATTAAATTAGGAACAATTAATTCAAATCAAGCGAACATAGTATATCCATCCCGGAGGTTGTGTGTGGGGTGGGATGTACACAGACTAGTACCCTAACCCAAGGAGTAGATTGGTTGTTTCTGTAAAGACTCCCAGAAAACTAGAAACAAATGAGGTAAAGTTGGATACAAGTTGGCTACAATAAAGGGAAGGAAGACGATGATTCAATGCATTGAAATGGGAATCAAATATTTACAATGAAAAATAAGGTTAAAAAAGGGTGGAGGGTTAATTTGATAAGTTATTCATATGGATGGCAAAAGGAATGCCAGTGGCTTCTAAACCAAATCAAACTCGGTATATCCCACACAGATGTAGAGGTAGGATCTGGGGATAGATGTACGCAGACCTTGCCTCTACCAAAGATTTTACAAATGGTATCAAAGCAAATTCATGATCTCATTAGCCATGATAGATGAGAATGCAGAAATTATTTAGACACAAAAGAAGATAAACTAATTACAAACCTGCAAAATCCCGTTTAAGGCTTTTGATAGAGCAGGTTTGAGGTCAGCAGGATGCAGCTCCCCTTTTTCGTAGTCAGCAACTAGTTCTTCGTAACTTGTGAAGGACCTAATCATAGAAGAATATGCAGGGTAAAGAATAAGTACGAATTTGATTCTTAATCAAAACCCATATGATAGGATATCAAGTGGGAAAGAAGCCTTCTGATGGTCTTTGTAAGGTCAACTCACTTTTCACCTCCGTTTTCTGCTTTTCTTTCAACCTTGAACTCATTAAACCAAGGAAATACAATGTATTTAATGTACTCGAGGCATGGATTCCCAGCAACAACATTTGGTGGACAGTATGCTTTCTTTATCTTCAAATTTACCTCAGCCTGCAACATTCACCATTAGTTGATATTACACGAGCAAAATGCAAGATTATCCATCTGAATACGCATACTGACACAAGGAAAATTACTTTACAGTAACTACATATTTCTTTTGTCAAAACTTACACAAACTATACTTCCTAAAAGAGCCAAAAGAAGTTGGGCGTTCTGTAGGTCATACCTCCTCATCTTCCATAAAGATGGCAGAAGAAGAATCAGATTTTGACATCTTCTCTTGCCCTTGCAACAAACCTGGAAGCATGTCTGCACAGCAAAAGGCAAGCAATGATGATCACAACGAAAGAAGAAGAATTGAATATGGGAGGAAGTTAAAATTCCGGCTCTTACGATGAGACAATATGATAGGCTTGTTTTTCCTCTTGATATCATCACAGTACTCTCTTGCAAGCACATTCACTTTCCGTTGATCCATGCCTAACTGACAAATATCAGCCTGTTTCAACAAACAAACAAGGATTATTTATAAATCAACCAATCACCAAAGTAAACAGAATCCAAACTACAATGTTTCTTGAGACAGAAATAAAAAAAATGGTACTGACAATCAAGTCCTCAAGAGAAAAATCACAAGATCGTTATGAAGTATGACAAAAGGAGCTGATAATACAATATGCGAAGATAAAGCCATAAATATCATGTGATAAATCGAAAATTGACCTTTGATGGCTACCACATATGTCAGATAACCGTTGTCTGATGAGCTAAGGTATGTTATTTTCTTCATTATTAATTTCCTTCCATGAATGTTCAAGATGAGACTTTACTCCTAATTTTTTCCTTATATACAAGGATTACAATCAAACAAACAAAAAAGTTCCACAATATTCATATCGAAAGCTGTGAAACAGCTTTACTGAATATAATATAAACAATTCAAAGTAAACAAAACTTGAAATGCATCATCAAAGTAAAATTTTATTGACATATATTGTCAAAAAATTACTGAACTTAATGCATTCTATTTTATTTTAATAACCGGAACATGTATGACAAGCCTTAAAGCAATTGTCCTTCGTAGCCAAAAGATCAAATGTTCAACTCATGGAAACAACTTCATTGTGAAACTGAAAAGAGAGGTTGTCTAGAAATACTTCCATTCCCCTTTAGATAAATTAAGAACTTTTATCTGAGGAAACTAAAAGAAGACACTAGTTTAAGATTTCAAATACTATTCTCAATAAAATCATGACAATTATTTTAGTCTTAGTCCCCTCCAAATCTATAAAAATAGAGGCATTCTCTTAACTCCATGTATAGTTAATTACATTTAAGGAAGAACTTTCTGGTAAATTGTTTTAACTATACAACAACAAAATTAAAAAGGGGAGGCACAGAAGCAACCCTATTGAACAGGGAAGACAATACGACACTATTAAGTATTAACCATGAAAAAAAGTACTTTGAACCTCCCCTTCCTTTAGGTATATTTTTCCGCATTAAGAGTAATTTTACATATTCTCAACACATCATATGCACATTCTAATATCTAGGCTGCAGAGAACCAAAAACTTAAATCCCTACAAAATTGGAGAAATTTGAAATTTTACAGGGAACTTGGCTCCAGCCCCACCCCCAACCCTCCCTGCATGCATGCAAGTTGGCACAAGCTAACTACTGAGAAAAAGGATGAAGCAACAGACCTTAAGGAAAAAGATATCTGCACATTGCATGCACGGGTAAAAAATCTGGGCGGCTGTCAATTCTTCCTGCTCATTCCGACCCATAATTTGACAACACCTACAAGCATTGATAATGCAATGATGCAAGAGCTTTTTGCAAACTTAGTACCACAAGAAAATAAAATCATAACCTTCTACCTCATTATCCTAGGAAGCTTGTTTCTTCTAGCAATGTCCATCACTAGAGGCCAGTATTCATGTGCCCGAGAATTAATTTCCTCAGAAGACCATAGAAACTCTACTTGACCTCCTTCTAAGTTCATCCCTGCTGCTTTCCAGATCTCAATTAGGTAGCGTCCAACAGTTTGAATTCTACCTAAATCCCCACCCATTTTGTTGTTCAATTGTGCAAACCAATCTGCTATCCAAATCTTGACTTTGCAACCAGCAGATGTCAGTTTATTAACATTAATTGTCTTCATAACACCCTGTTCAGCAGAAAACAATAATAAGACATCAGCATGAGCACACAAAACGGTAATGGTTTATGGCTATCTACAACTCAAAATAATAAGAGGTCTGATTGATGTAATGTTTTGAACAAAATTCCCAATTCTATCAAGACGATGGGAGTAATATGAGAACACCAAACTATTTAACCAGATGAAATGTAAATTTGCTATGGTTAACTTATACAGAAAAAACAAGGTCAGCAGTAAACAAAAAGGTCGATCAAATACAGCTCTCCATTAATATACCTGCGCTATATGCATTCTCCCAGAAGGTTCGAACCCATCATAGCAAATGATTTGGGGCTTCTTGGCAAGAAGATTCAAGAGTTCTTCTTCCTGAATACACTCTTCACCAATGCTCCTCACAATCCTAAATTTTTCCTCCACGCTCATCCTAAACACACAATACCAAATACATTCAATAAAATTGGTACAAATATGAAGCAATAAAAACAGTAATTAGCCACTGAGCAATACAAACGACCAAAATCGAACAAATACTCCTTCAGTTCAAAATCAAATGAGCCATTTGCCTTCTACACTTATCCCAATACTGAAAACAATTCAGCCAAATGTTTATTCAACTTTCTAACAACAATTCAAATTCTAACTCTGTAGCTATTCATATCCTATAAGCCTAGAACAAATGCAACTACAATTGCACACTTATGTTCTTGAAGAATGCCTTTCTACAATCTACGATTTATTCTAAAACATGTTGCACAAGGAAGGAAGTATTTTTATCAATCCACATATGAATAATCAATATGCTATAAATGTTAGAAAACTTTGCTTGGAATCCACTGAAAGTCGTTTATCACTTTCAGATTGAAGAATTTCGACGGTACAATCGAAATCTCAATCGGATAAAATTCAGTGATTGACAGAACTTCGAATCCAAATTGTTATGAAATCTGTCTACCACTCTAATCAGAAAAATGACCAATTCGCATATTCAAGAAGTGCGAAAACTGTCAAAAACGGCAGTTTTTTTCTCCCTAAACCGGGTTTAAAAACCGGGCCAAAAACCCGGGTTCAAAATCTAAAATTCGACCCCAGCCAGGGGCTGCCGCCCCTTGGACCCCGCCACCGGGGGCGCTGCCCCGGGACCCCGTCGTTTAGGGGCTTCTCCCCTAAATCAAAATAAACTCAAGCAAGTGTGCACTCCGCACCTTCCTTACTTGTTCGATATTTATCATGATTACATTGGTCATCAAATTAATCCCATTACACTTAAATGATATTGGTGATACTAATCACCAACAATAAAACCTTTGAACATAGTCTTCATTTCTCGGGTGACACATAGAAACACTGCAATATTTGCAATCCCATAATTAACTGTAAACAAACTAATAGTAAAAATACCTTCAAATTTGTTCAATCCCACTCCATTAGAGCAAAAAAACAAGTTAGAATCGAATACAAATGAAAATTTACCAAATGTACTCAAATCAGCGAGAAGACTTACTGCGTGGTGGATGAATTCGAAGACGATGATTCATCTTTCGAATTCAAAGAAAGTGATTCAACTTCTTCAACTGGAGGATTCTCCATTGACAGTCTCTCTTCCGTTGCGCGGCGGTCGGAGAAGACAAAAATTAGGGTTTGACCACAAGCAACGTTTTGCTACTCGTTTACTTTCTACTGGCATCAAGAAGCAGCAAACAACTTTCAGTCAATTACAAAATCAGTCCCTCCATGTTTTCATGGCCTATAATACACCCCTTATGTTTGATGTATTTGCAAAATTAATTATCAAGAAGTTGTCACAAAGAAATTTGTTTTTCAAAAATAAATTATTTAAACTTTTTGTTTTTTATTTTTTATTTTTTGTTTTTATTTTTATTTTTTGTGTTTTAACTTTTAGCTTTAGATTTTATACTTCTATAGATTTATAGAATCACATCATTCTCAGTTTCATAAATTAATAAACGAAACTATAAAACTATTTTTTTGAAGTTCTATTTTAAACATTTAATCAAAAACTATTTTTATAATAATAATTTATATGATTTTTCTTCTTCTAATATGAATGTACATTTTTTAATATAATTATCTGGTTAGATAATTTATAGAAAACATATATGTATATATATAATTTTTATATATGGCATACAAATTTATCGGTTTATGTCACGTCTTGAAAAATGTTGTGTGCTTCCTGTAGTATATAAGCTCGAGGCTTGACCTCGCCACCACGCCATATCTCAAGCCATTTTGAATCTTACTTTGAAATGTACATCCAAATAACCAAACTAACCGATCCAATATATCTGTTCAAAAGCAAAATTTGCAGTGGATGCATAGAAATATCATCTGCTTCAAAGGGTAGAGCGGCTTAAAATGTAGATCCAAATGGTATGAGTTGCTATATTTTTAATTAAAAAATGAAAAATAGGATTAGAAATTAACAAAAAGGGGGAGAATGGCAAAAGGTTGAGGGACCATTTATGTAACTTTTACTTGTTTGAACACATAAAGATGTGGGCATTTGGGTCGGGCTTATACGCGGGTCGGATTAATCCATGGGCTTTTCTTGGGTTTTTATACATTAATAGAGACCAAAAAAATACAAAGCATTTACTATAAATTTATAACCATGTTTCTATATCACTATATGTGTCTCCAATACGTGTTACGACCGAATATCCAGATAAGAAAAGCTCGAGTTCAATAAAAACAGGACAAAGTATCGTGAATTTGCGAAGGCCCGAAAAAGGTCGCAAAGAAGCCCAGCTGAGCAACAACTACTTAAAGTGGGTTTTCGATTAACTGATGCGAGTAAACACAAGGCATGCTCATAAATGTCTAAACTAACTCTTGAGTAGCACAATTTGACATTTTGAGAGAGAATGACATAAAACAGTAACGTATACATAAATTAACAGTCTATTTTATATCTGTCTGCACATGCCTATTTTAGTGTTAGAGGCAAATCAGTAGATCCTTTAATGTGCAGGATAGTTTGCGTACGTTGCAATGAATTTGTTTCCGTATGTCCTCTATTTTTCCATCTCCCGTTTGCTCGTGGCCTTTGAGATATTGGTCTATATACATGTATATATTGCTAAGTGTTGTAATGATCAATTTAATACCAGTTGCAGTAAACCACATTCTGAAATGGTAAAGTAAACTTACTTCTACACCCTTATTTAATTTTAACTGTTAGTTTCTTAATAATCTGATTAGCAAAGCATTCAACGCCATCAAATGCGATTATCACAGCTTCATGCAGGATAAAGACATAAAAGCACAGCTGGTTTATCATGATTTTGACTATTCAATATCGCATAATACTTTCAAAACATGCATCCAAACACCCGTTTAATCCATTGTCATCATCATTTGATTTAGAAAGAGATTAGGGGGTTTAACACATGATTGGTGTTAATGTTGTTCTAAAAAAAGAAAATGATTTATTTAGCCATGTGCCATAACGAATCGTTCAATCAGTATTGTTGCATTAGATGGCAGTCACAATCTTGCATACCATATAGGCCTTTTATACTGTTACAATTAAGGCTACGCTATGCAAATTCTCGTTTATCAGCAATCTTGCATATAAGCTTGACCTAATAAGCCGAAATTTGATGTCATGATCGAAGTCACTCAGTTCCTTTTCGTCTAAAAGTTAATCCCTTTCAACTTATTTATGTATTATATCTGATATTTCAAATATCAGAAGGTCTGACACACACAACATCCATCATGATTTATAGTGAAATTATTTCCACTTCGAAACCAAGCACCACCCATGTTTTTGTTGCACCTAACCCCGTGTTTTCAGTCTACTAGCCCATACATGGCACGTGGGCAGTTACACTGGTTATGACAAATAATATAAAGAACTCGTAATGCCGACCAAACAAAAGTTGTGCAACGTGAACCCATTTACTCGAGCACATACCTGATCTTCTTGTTGTTAACGAGACAACATTTCGATCTAAGGCTGGGGGGGGGGGGTATCTTTGTAAATCAAATAAATTAATACAGAACCGATAAGAATTTGAACTGTGACCATAAATGTCAAGTTTTTACCGCTAAAGAAACAGTAGAACTAACTCTTGATGATTTATATTCAAGATCTTCACCATTTCATACACCTATTTCTTCTAAGTCATCTGAACTGGTACATCTATATCTGTTATACATAAACAAATACTGATAATAAAGAAAAACTGGTATTGACAAAAGAGATAGTTGTTACATTAGCTCATCAAGTATGGAGGGGAGTTCCACAAGAGGGCAAGTGGAATTTAAAGAAATAAAACGAACACTAACATTTCTTTTTCTTTTTCTTTTTTTTTTTGTTTCTGAGGGGATGCGGAGGCAACTATGTGCAAAAAAAAAAAAAAAAAAAAAAAAACCTATTCATATCCCTACCCTTTTAACTATCAGTGAGATATCAACACATTTTCACGTGGACTAACACACGAGTAGGGGCAAAATGGTAATTTCATTAAGCCAGAACCTATTTGTTTTTCACAAATGATCTAGAAAAACACGTCCGTCCATGTATGTGAAACTTTCTTCATCTGTCTACTGGAAAACACTTGCTACGGAATCCACAACTCAGGACGTTGCGATTTTCTCGAAGAGACTGAGCCTGTTATCGGAGAGTCTTGAGTTAAACGCGGACTTTCTGTATTCGTACCAAGTGAACTCTTTATACAAGCTGGCCTCCTCCCCCACCATGAGTGAATCCAATGGCGCTATCTTTTCACTCAAAGGTGGCCCTCCAAAATAAATCATTGACAACCTGCTTTTTGAGCTATTTGCCACCACTCTATGCTTCACACTCTTGAATCTTCCATTTGTCATCACCTGTTTTTATTACATCGTTTTCATTCAGCTTTTTATCGACACACATCGAATAAAACAAACAAAACGGGTTATCTTCGATCGAAAATTACACGTGTTTCGAGACTGGATACCCGTACCCATTGTTCTTAACTTGATTGACGGAAACTTCTTGGATTTTTTAAACGGGTCTGAGTCAATTGTACGGTGAAAAAAAGGAATTTAAAATGTGCAAGAAAATCAAGACTTTTGAAGCCCAAAAAGCGGCTTGTTGTACTTGAGAAAACGATTGATTTTGACTTGGAGATTATATACCGTGCGTCATTACGTAAAGATTTTCTCAAAATTTTCTACTTTTTCTATTTTGAATTAATAATGAGTTTTCGTTACCTGTAAAGAATCACCGACATTGATGAAGAAGGAGGATGAATCGGGAGGAACAGACATCCAACTTCCGTCTTTGAGTGAAATCTCGAGACCAGAAGTGTTGTTCGATCTCAAAACCGATATGATTTGTGGGTCGGTATGTTCTCCGAATCCAATCAATTTCTTCCCTTTCGTTTCCGGTTCTTGAAGCTCTGGGCATGGTGGGTAGTAATTCACCCTGAAAACAGAGTCACTCTGTTCATCCATCAACAGCTTACTCAACACATTTCTTGGCTTCAATTCCATCTCATCTGCCAATAATTCAAGAATCTCACAAGTCATCTTCTTCACTGCTGTCACATAATCATTCACAACACACCTACAGAAAACACAAACTTAGATCACACCCAAGTCGAAGAAAGTAAAAAAGATGGAAACTTTGCACGAAATTCTTACTGGAAATCTTCTGGATTCTCTTCAAAAACAGAGAATGGTGGGTTCTTGTGATCAGAATCAAGTTTGGCGTTCAGAAGCAGGTATTCAACCCAACCAAAATCACCATTTTGACCAAGACGTCTGTTTCCATACCCAAAGGGATTCGGTGGACCTGCTTTTTGCTTCAGAGAAAGAGGGGAAGAGAAGAATTTGGTGGCTTCGGATTCGAGTTTGTTGATGAATTGCATGGGGACGCCATGGTTGACGACCTTGAAGAATCCAAATTCTTGACAGGCTTTGACAAGAAGGTGTTTTGAATCGGACTTGGAGAGATCAATGAGAGGAATGGTTGGGAAGCTCAATGGGTTGTGATTGGTGGGTTTGGAGGGTTTGCTGAAGAACAATTCAATGGGGGGTTTGGAAATGGCCACCATTGTTGAAAGCACGAAAGATTTAGGGATTGGAATTTGAATCGAAAAAAGAAATAGAATTTAAGAATGGAGAAATGTTGATGTGAAAAGGGAATACGAACACACAGAAGTTGGTTCTTGCTTGGCTATTTGTAGGAGATGGAGTGGAGAGAGAAAGAGGCTCAAAATTGGCTTAAAAAAGGTCAAATTATTTCAATATTTCTTTTAAGAAATTTTAGTCATAAAGTATTTATATTAAATTATATCAGAAGAGTACTTGCGTAAACATATCACGATTTTAATATTTTATTTTATTATTTATCTATGTCGATCATATAATACGATTTTATGTGTTTTTAAAAAAGCAATACTGATTTTATTTTTGAATAAAATATAAAATATCATAAAATTTTAAAAAATTATATGGATGTTAGTATTAAATTAACTATTTAAAGTACTTCTTTCGTGTAATTTCTTTAATTTAATTTTTATTATAATTTAATTTAAATTAAATTAATTTAAATTTAATAATATAATTTTTTATAAAGATGATAATTATGTATTATATTAGAACTCAATAATTATCCTAATTATATTTTAGATTTTTTATATTTAAAATGAGATGTTTAATTTTTTATCGTGTATTGGATTATGTTTATCTGTCAGTTAGTTACACGAATTCAAATATAGAGCTTTACTAAGTTAAACTTACGCACGATTTACTTGTAATCTTAAATTTTAAGTAATATGCATCAATAAACAGTACTTCGTGCATAAAAGATGGTTTTTAAGAGTTTTTGTCAAATATTTTATAATATAGTATAGATTATCTATAAATATATAGAAGCGGGTTCAAATGAAAACCGAGTTTCGATTGTGAAATGGGGGCAAAGGAGAGTGCGACACGTGTCCCCTGCGTTCATGGGTTATTCATCATGAATAATCATGAACGTATATTATTTATCATGAATAATGAATCAATTTAACATATGTCGCGCTCTCCTTTATCCTTGGTTTACAGTCGGAAATCGTTTTGTGATTGAACTTTCTTCTCAGTATGTATATTATATGTTGTTGAGTCTGAACTGGGCATATCAGATAACGAGTTAAAATTAAATAATTAATGAATAGAATATTTATAATTTTTAGGTCGGTTTGATGTTTTGATATTTATTTATTATTTTTTTTTTTTTTTGAATTTTGTAAATAACCAGTAACATATATAATTATTTAATTACTATTAAGATAAGAAAAAAAAAATTACATGAAATGAAAAACCAATTTGATTTTGTTTTTATATTGAAAACCATTTTGTGATTTTTTTTAATTAATAAATACATAAAAATTATATGCTCTTCCGTATTGAATTGCAAACGAATTCGTTCATAACTAAACCTCTTTGTGTCGCCTTCATCTCGTCCTTCCTTCCTCCTATCAACTGCTTCCCGCCCACACAAACTCTTATCAATATTTTCTACATCGTTGTCGTCCATCCACGTCACTGTCGCAATGTATACTATGCTAGTACGTGTCCAAATGTTTCCGTAAATAACTATTTTCCCATTTTCTTTTCTTTTTAGATGCTCTTTTTGTTCTTGGTTTATTCTCCGCTTTGTTAAATTCCGTTGTTTGGTTCGTTAGTTACGATAGAAGCGATCGTAGGGTTGTGGAGAATTATTCTCTGAATGTTCGAGTGATAACTTGTATTGAAGAAACACGTTAAACGCTTGTTGGGGGTTCAGAGGTACCCAAATAGGATATTGGAAGTTTTAGCCTTTTTTTAGGTGACAAAATGAGAAGTGGTATATAGAAATCTCAATTTTCAATTTAGGGTATATGTGAAGATCGTCTAAGGGGCCGTCTACCAATACTTACCTGGGTAAGATATATCTATTAGTCCACCAAAACGGTATCGTATGCAACGATTATCCCAGTAAGTGCTAACCGTGGTAAGAGTCGTTGCTATCACTTACCGGATAAGACTCTCAGTCATTGCCTTAGCTCTTATTGGGTAAGATTTTTGGTCCTTGCAATGTTGATTCAGTAAGGTAATGTGACTTGGTAAGCGTTTACCCGAATAAGCGTTTGGTAAATGACCCTTAAGTCTCTGTGACTAATTCATAATTGTTTCTCTTTGTTAAATACTTAACCGTAACTATTGAAGTTAGATGAATTAGTAACTAAACATTTAGATTTAAGAATAACAAGAATGACAAAAACTAAAACAGTATTATAAAATGTGTTTATAGTAAAACCGTGGTATTATGTTAAGAGTCGGTTGTCGATACATATCTAATTTTGTTGCCAAACAGAAAGATTAACTAGTTCTAAATCATATAAATTGTAATGGGGGTTCCGGGTTCATCATCCTAATACTTAGGTGGCATTTTTTTTTAAGAGATGTTGAAGTCTGAAGTTTTATTTCGCTTTTGATTAATAAGAGGTGGTGCTGAAATCTGAATCAATAAGATTGTTTGTTTTTATAAACTGACAAACGTTTGAAGTCTGAAATCTTAATCAATAGTTTGTTTTTGTAAAATCAGGTGCAAACATTTTGCAAAATTCTCTTGATTTTCATAAAACTTTCATTGCCGAAATTCATCTCAACAATTACTTAACAAATGGAACACAGTAAGAACCTTTTGGATATCTTTCCGACTTCCGATGCTATCGGGAATGCCGCCAGTGAGTTTGTTTGCGGAAAGATCGATACTTTTGATAGATGATAGATCGCCGATAGAAAATTTTGTTTTACATTAATCTTCTAAGCTAACATGTATGTACATAAATTATATATATATGCGCACGTGTGTGTAGGGAGAGAGAGAGAGAGAGAAGGTGGTGTCCCTGGTGGAGAAAGAAACAATAGCTAAAGAGAATCAAAAAAAGGAAATAAGAGGAATTAATATATTAGTTTACTTCTTATTTATTCAGACCCTATTAAGTGATAAAAGACTTTGAAAATAATTAAAAAAAACAAAACAAAACAGTTTGAATAGATAATGAGATGTTTCATACTTTGTGTCTTGAGTTCCAATAAATTAGGGGAAAAAATGTTTTTAAACACCATTTTTCAAAAAATAAATAATATAATATTTCATAAAATGTCACAAAAATAAAGATAACGATGTTTATGTGATAAAAATATCAACAAAATAAAGACTGTTTTTCAACGTGACGGTGACCCTAACATGGCTCCACTCATGCAACCAAGGGGAAGGAATGAGGGGACGAGAAGAAGCAATAGGGAAGGTGTTAACACGATATTAAAAAGCTATTCAGAATTTAAATTAAAAATCTAACATGTCATCGAATTATATATATATATATATATATATATATATATATTGCAATTCATTGTCACAAATACTATGTTAGAATCTGTAGTTCATTGAACCTTAAAAGTGTTTGCATAGTTTGCTTATATTCCCAAAAATGGAAGTTATGAAATTTGCTTTATTAAAATATTAGTAAATGCATAGTTTTTAATCTGAATTTTCCTTTAGATAATGATTTCATGTCTTTAAATTAAGTTACAAGTGAATCTTTTGAACTGTTTTGTACCTATGCTATTTAATTTTATCAGTTATATTCATCTAAAAACAGATGAATAAATAAACTATATTCAAACTGATAAATACTTCCTTACAGGATTATTATGCAACAGAAGAATCTTAAGCCTTCGACTACGTTTATTAAAGACGAGTCAACGATTTATAAGCAGTGGCTGGTTAAAAAGACCCCACATTGAAACTTAATAGAAATGAGTCTTTATTGAAATTGTTGTTGATTTTGAACTTGAAACGATTAATGATAAGAATATTACAATTCCAACCTAAATCCGGTCGGTTATGCATAAAATGCACCAAGTTAATGGTACTAGCTATTTGATACAAACTAAGTAATCTTTCAAAAGAATTTGTATATTAACCAAGTTATTAATATCACATGATGATTAATTTATATATATATATATATATATATATATATATATATATATATAGGGTTGGGTTCACATGAGACCACGGATTTTTCGTGAGACCCATGAGACCAATTTATGTTTATTGATCAACTTTATAAGCTAATGATTTAATGGTCTAAAGTTGCACGGTGACAATTTTGTGATTATTGAGAAGTCTCGTGGCAATTTTGTAATTATGAATATTTAGATCGTAGATCTAATCCAAGAGTTGAGAATTGGTTTTTACGAGTCTCACGAAAAACCATTCGTCTCACATGATCCCAAATCTATCTATCTATCTATCTATCTCTCTCTCTCTCTCTCACTCGCGGACTTGCTATGTAAAAGGTGGGGGGAAGGGCCCCTATTAAAAAGCAAAGAAAAAGAATTTTCCTAGGTTAAAAGTTATCTTTTTACTTTCTACCATGATTCTCCTCGATAATTTCTTGTTAGCGCCCCCACCAACTAAAGAAAGTATCTTGAAATCAACCAAAAACTAAAAAAGTTCCTCGAAATCGATAAAAAAAACCCTTAAAAAATCCCTCGAAATAATCCAAAAAAAATTCAAAAATCTCTTGGAATAGTGGAATTAGGCTAAAACACATCGGATGACTCTGTGGGCATTTAAGCTACCATAAAAATACCCCCACTAGACCAAAATCTTGGATTCGTCACTGTGCGCTCTCTCTCTCTCTCTCTCTCTCTATATATATATATATATATATATATATTTATATTTATTTATTTATATAATACTATATAAAAAGAAAATGCTGTATTCTTTTTCAATTTAACGAAATCAATTGTTTTCGTTTCAAGAAAACAAAAAGATAATTGATTATATAAAGTAAATTGTATATTCACAATACATGTCTTAATATGATACACAACATATATATATATATATATATATATATATATATATATATGAATTCTCAAAACTTCTGTTGCTCCATTCCCACAAGGACAGAGAATCCAAAGAATCAGCATATGAGTTGTGGTTAGGGTGAAATGCCACTTCAACCCAATAAATTCTCCACTGCCGCCTCTCTCAGAAGCTTGTGTTCACATGAATCACAAATATTGTATATATTCATGTGATGTGATTGTGCATATGTATCGATATGAACATCTATTGCCTTTGATATGTGTTCATTTAAACGAA